GAAGAGCGGATGCACCACTCCTTCCTGGCCTGACCCCACTCTTGGTGCTGCGGAAGACCCTCTCTCTGGCCCATCTTGAACCGGCTTCCTTGTCACAGTCCTCCCTTGCAGGGCCGTCTCTTCCTTCCCCTCCTCCTAACTGCTGCCCACCCTCTCCCCATTGTCCACGCTGGGGTAGGAGGCTCCCTTGGCACCAGGGACCCTTCCCAACCGGACCTGAGGGTCAGGGGGCATGTGCTGCTCCTTCCTTCCTGAGCCAATGGCCCTGTCAGCAGAACCAGGGCTCGTACGTCCCGGAGGGAGCCTGCCAGCCACAGTGCGGGCACAAGGGGAGGGACAATCCAGGGTTTGGCTACGTTGCCTGCAGCCTCACAGCAGTTTTTTTAAAAGGGGGGGGGAGCCCAAGGCCTTGGAACACATGCTACAGGGGATCCGCTCTCTCTCCCCCCAGCAGTTTTCTCGCATGAAAACTATGCAGGAGGGGGATATTTTGCCAGTTTTGGACCTCTATGCACACAGATACTTCACACAGGGCAGCAAAATTGGCAAAAAAAACCCAAACCCTCCCACCTCCAGTGTTCCCTCTAAGCTGAGTTAGTGTGAGCTAGCTCACAGTTTTTCAGCCTCCAGCTCACACATTTTGTCTCGGCTCAAAAAGGAGGGCTCCAGGGCAAACTAATTTATGCAGTAGCCAAATTGCTTGCTCACAACCTTAGTGCCAGTAGCTCACAAAGTAGAATTTTTGCTCAGAAGACTCTACAGCTTAGAGGGAACATTGCCCATCTACCAAAGCAGTTTCTTTGTGGCCAAAAGGACCTCATCAAGCTGCCTTAGACTGAATTAGACTTTTGGCCCGTCAGAGTCAGTATTTCCTACTCAGACTGGCAGTGGCTCTCCAGGGTCTTATGCAGAGAAGGGTCTTTCCCATCACCTGCTGCCTGGTCCTTTACCAAGAGATGCTGGGGATTGAACCTGGGACCTTCTGCATGCCAATCAGAGTCTCTTCCACTGAGCCACAGCCCCTCTTTACAGCTCTCCAGGGTCTCCGGTGGAGGTCTTTCCCATCACCTCCTTCCTGGTCCTTTTAACTGGAGGTGCCGGGGATTGAACCTGGGACCTTCTGCATGCCAGGCAGAGGCTCTCCCACTGAGCCACGGCCCCCTAGTGTAAACGAATGAAGAAATGTGTGGTTGACCCTTCAGACCTCCCTCTGAGGAGCTTTGGTCATTCCCAGTGTATGAAGTTTCTCTTCCATCATGGAACTTGAGGCGGTCAAGAGGGTCTTCCCTCCAGGCACTGAACTGTTCCGCTGTGACAAGGTTGTTGTGCCTTCAGGACCCCGGGCCCAAAGCCGGCTGTCAGACGTGGGGCCTTGCTGCTTCCCTGACCTCCTGAAGGTTTGGTTGAACATTCTCCTGCCCTGCGAAGTGAGGCAAAAGGCTGTGTCATTTTCCAAACCCCGTTCGCCGGCCCCAGCCCTTGGAAAGGAGACCTGCCCAAAGAAGATTGCAGCGGCTTTCCATTGCGCTTTCCAAATCGATACTCACAAAAAGATTTGGCCTCTCAGCTAACGGGAAAAGGCAGAGAATCGCTGGCTCGCCACCCAGCAGTCCAGGAGGGTGAAGGCAGAGTTGTGAAACCTCCAAGAGGACAGAGCCAAGCCCACCGTCCTCCCCACCACAAGCTAGGGAGACGCCCCTCCTGGGGGCAGGTCTCCGCCGTAAGTAGCAAGGCCCCAAAGGCCCCAAAGCCGCACTTGCTTGGACAAAAAATGGATGCAGCAGCTTCCAGGCAGGCACAGAAACCAAGCGACGCATGCGGCTAATCTAGGGCGGGACTTTCCCAGGCCTCATAGAAAGGGAACGGCGTGTCTGGCTTATTACTGGAGCTGCCTGGTAGAGAATGCCCCTCAGCAAGCCTGCAGGAGTGGACAGCCAGCCACTTGACCTGCTGCGGTCACGGTCTCCATCCAGGGGTTCCACCTGCTGTTCCAGGACGGAGGGACAAAGGTCCCGGCAGCCTCTGCCTGATCTCCGATCCCGGCCAGCCCCAGAAGCCAGAGAAGAGAAGGGAAGGACAGTGTGTGGCTGCAATAAAAAAGGCCAACGCTATGCTGGGGATTATTAGGAAGGGAATTGAAAACAGATCAGCCAATATCATAATGCCCCTATATAAATCAATGGTGCGATCTCATTTGGAATACTGTGTGCAATTCTGGTCACCACACCTTAAAAAGGATATTCTATCATTGGAAAAAGTACAGAAAAGGGCAACTAGAATGATAAAAGGGTTGGGACACTTTCCCTATGAAGAAAGGTTAAAGCGCTTGGGGCTCTTTAGCTTGGAGAAACGACGGCTGAGGGGTGACATGATCGAGGTTTATAAGATTATGCATGGGATAGAGCAGGTCGAGAAATAAGTCTTTTTCTCCCTTTCTCACAATACAAGAACTCCTTGTGGGCACTCCATGAAATGGCTGAGCAGTCGGGTTAGAATGGATAAAAGGAAGGACTTCTTCACCCAAAGAGTGATTAGCACGTGAAATTCACTGCCACAGGAGGAGGTGGTGGCAGCCACAAGCATGGACGGCTTCAAGAGGGAATTCGATATGCATATGGGGCAGAGCTCCATCAGTGGCTTTTAGCCACAAGGCGTAGATAGGAATTATCGGTCCGGGGCAAGTGATGCTCTGTCTTCTTGGTGATGGGGGGGGGGCAACAGTGGGAGGGCTTCTGGTGCCCTGGCCCCACTGCTGGACCTCCTGAGGGCACCTGCTATTATTGGCCACTGTGTGACACAGAGTGTTGGACTGGATGGGCCATCGGCATGATCCAACATTGGCTTCTCTAAAAAACAAAGAAACAACACTCTAGGTATAAAAACGTCAGGTAGCAGATGATGGGAAAGACCTCTACCCGAGACCCTGGAGAGCTGCTGCCATTCTGAGTAGGTGGTACTGACTCTGATGGACTGAAGGTTTCAGGGGTCATCTCGTAGAAAAAGGGATCCCCAGCCAAAGTGGCCTGGAGAAAAATGGATTCCTGACCCCGAAGTGGCAATCGGCATTTCCCTGGGCGTGTAAGAAAGGGCCACGAGAACTAAGCACTGAGGCAACCCTTCCTGCCCTCCCTCTCATGATCTGCCTCAATTCACAGGATCCACATGGCTGTCCGGTGGCCATCTGGCCTCTGTCTAAAAACCTCCAAAGAAGGAGAGCCCACCACCTCCTCCCGAGGAAGCCTGTTCCACTGAGGGAACCACTCCAACCGTCAGGAAGTTCTTCAGTCTAGTCAGATTGCAGAAGGCAGGGGACGTCCCTGAGTTAGCCTCTGGCTCACACATTTTTGTCTGAGCCCAGGAAGGACGGCTCCAGAGCAAACTAATTTACGCAGTAGCCAAATCACGTGCTCACAACTTTCATGCCAGTGGCTCACAAAGTAGAATTTTTGCTCACAGGACTCCACAGCTTAGAAGGGAGCATTGTCTGCCACGGGGCGACCTTGGGCCAGTCACACACTGCCTCAGCCTAACCTACCTCACAGGGTTGTTGTGAGGCTAAAACAGAGGAGAAGTGAATGACGTAAGCCTCTTTGGGTCCCTGTTGGGGCAAAGGCAGGGGATATAAATACAGTAAACAAAGCAAATCCTCAAGGGGGGGTGACAAAGGGGCCCCCAGAGTGGCATCCCAGGGAGATTGCAGGACGGCGAAGCGTCGCCGAAGCCAAGCTGGTCTGAGCGTGGTGGGGGCACAGAAGGGCACCCCGCGCAAAGCACCCCAAGTTCCCTGTGGGCATAGTGGCATATATTAATCTCCTAATCTGAATGCAAACTAGGTACAGTGATTTATCTTGGAAGGGGCCCGCACTGCAGTTGCTTGATACTGTCCCTCCGCATGACCTTGTCTTCTGTACCGCACCCAAAAGCCAGCAAATACCGTGGTACAGATGATTACAAAGTATCTCAAATAATTTTTATATATCTATTTGTTTTAGTAATTTTGTTTAAAAAAAGAATTTGCTGCAAAAAGTCTCTCTTAATGAGCTCAAGGCTTTCTCCAAAATGAAAAGCAGGTGCTTTACACTCCATTTGGTGAAATTTGGATGAATATCTTGGTATTTGGCAACCTTGTGTCTGGAAATATCTGTTGAACACCCTGAGGAAGTCCCTGAAAGAGGAGGATATCTGGACCTCTGCTGGAGGAAGAATGAACACCAATTCAAAATAGACTTAAAGGAGTCCTCCCTCTTAAAACTATTGTGCAGTTGAGGAGGACTGATATTAATAAAGGGGTTGTGCAATATCCGTTTGTTATAAAAAGGCAATACTTAAATTAGCGGATATATGATATGTGATCATGTTTATGTGAATGGTGAATAATTTGTAAGAAATATAGAAATTTTTAAAAAAATGTTAAAACGAATAAATATATAAACATTATTTGAGATAATTTGTAATCATCTGTAGCACGGTATTTGCTGACTTTTGGTATTTCCTACTTACCGTGGGTCCTATTTTTTTTGTATGAATTTCTTCTTTTTTTACGCCCCCCGTAGGGGATTTTTTATTGTATTTTCTATAAACTACAAAGAAACAAGGGAAGGTATCTACAAACTATGGGTGAAAGTAAAGAAACCTACTAAAAACCCAAGAGAGGGAGGTTATACAATGCTTAAACAAATTAGCTTTGACCTTTTTTAAACAAACACAATTTGTAAACGTTGAAAGTGATCTTCAAATCTTTCGCTTATGGTGTCCAATCCAGCAAATCCGACTATACAAAGACTAATACAAAAGCTCAATTATTAAACCGCTTTAGCAAACAATGGAAAACATCAGCATCTCATATTAACAATCTCATCCCCCCCCCCCCAAAGCCTTATTTGGGAAATTTAAAAAAATTCCTCATATTAAAGTCCTCTTCAGTAAATGTGATTTCTATCTTGTTTTCTTTCATTACGATCTTCCTCTACTTAGTCTTCTACTCCCATTGTCCAATGTTATTGCAGCATTGATGATAATCCAATTTTTAAGATTAAGTTCATTTTTCTATTGTTGTTTCCCTTTAAACATTAATATTTGTGGTCATCATATCCTCTGGGGAATCTAATCATAGTCTCACCGGGCAGACCAATACTTGGATATGTCCATAGATCATATCCTCGCTATATAACCCACTTTTAATCTTAGACTGGTCCCAAAACTTCCTTTAAAACTTGCCTTAGATTCTCCTCTTCGCTTCCTCAAAGTCTGCATAGTCTCCACATCGCTTATTATTCCCATTTGCAATTTAAAGGTAATTCTGTTCGTTTTTCTATTTTTGTTTTGTCAGTTTCTGTACTGCACCCAGCGGCCTGTTGGAGGAAAAGAGGGGGCCTTCTGCCTTCCCCCCCTCGGACATGGAGGGCCAGGGGGGGTCACGCTGGAGCGGCTGCCCCTTCTCTCCTCATCTCTCTCTCTCTCCCTCTTTCCAGGAAAAAACTGCGTCCAGGCGACGAGAGGCGGAGGTAAGCTGATTCTTGGGCTACTGGGAGGGTGGGGAATGTGTGTGTGTGTGTTGGGGGGGGGGGCGAATCTTGCAGTCTTAGTCTTAGGAGAGGCCGTCCCTGCTAGACTCCAGGATCTCCAGCAGATGCTGGTCTGGAATTGTGCGAAAACCCCAGCGGAGGGAGAGAGCACCACCTCTTCCTATCGCCGAACTGTTTACGTGAACTGTTTATGCGCTTCAGGAATTCTTCCTAGTCTTTACCCTGACTCTGTCCTTCAGAAGAGGCTTCAGAAGGGTTTCCTCCTCATTCTTTATGGCTTCCTTTGAACCACAGATCCCCAGGTTTGTTGACGATCCATCAAGACCCACGAGGCCACCTAGAAATCCTGCCCCATAATTCCCCTTTCCTCTTTGTTTATTTATTAAAACATGTCAATCCCGCCTTTCCTCCTGGTTCTAGGCCGCTTACAACAGTAGTTAAAAAAAACACAACGTTTTCAGTTTTAAACCAAGAATAAAATGGGAAGCCCCAAATGTCTACCCCTGCTGAAAAGATGCCTGCCAATTCAACTTCCCTTGAAAGACGGGACCGGCAGCACCTCCCGAAGATCTCCCAAGGAGGGGGCCTCTGCCCTCCCCTCTTCAGGGGATCCCCTTCCACAGGGCCGGGGGGCCACGATGGGAAAGGCCCTGGCTCTGGCTAACGCCAGGCGTGCCACCCTGAGTGGCGGTGGGACAGCCAACGGATCGCTGCCGGACGACCGTCGTTGGCACACGGGGACCTCTGGAAGGAGACGGCCCTTCAGACGTGTGGCTCCCAGGCCATGAAAGGCTTTCAAGGTCATCACCAGCACCTTGCATTGGACTCAGAAACAGACCGCAAGCCAGTGAGGCTCTTTCAGAAGGGGCAACAGCATGTCCCCAGCGGCCAGCCCCTGACAATAGCCAGGCTGACACATTCCGGACCTGTTGTGATTTCTGGGTTGTCTTCAAGAGCAGCCCTAGAGAGATCTGGGAGATTCAGCGGTGGGCCAGCACGAATCTCAGATCCGTCTCCACTCACCTTACGCTCCTCTTTAAGCCTCCTTCTCTTTAGCCTTTGCTCACCGGAGATTTGGGGGGGGGGGCTTTGCTTGGGAAGGAAAGGAGCGGATGGCTCCCTTTCAGGGCCTTGCGTGCCTGGGCTCGGCACTCCCCCTCCCTCACCAGGCACGCACAGAAGCGTGCCCCCCCCCTTTCCTCTCCAGGGCTGCCGTCTGCAGCCCGGCTGTGACCTTCCAGGAATGTAAGAACCTGGCGCCTGGCCAGGAGGGTAGGAGAGCCCTTGGGGGACGGCGTCTGTCAGTGCCGCTGTTTGTGCAGCAGGTCCTGGCAAAGGAGAGGTGATATTCCTGGGCAATGATGCAGCTTCAGGCCTGGGGGGGAGAGGGAGGAATTCGTGCCTCCTCTCTCTCCTGCCTTCATCGCAACCAGAGACAGACAAGACTCACACCCCCGCCATAAGGACGTACAGTCAATGTCACATCTGAACTAAAGAATAAATTTAGACTCCAGCAAGCAGTTCGAAAGCAAGAAATTGCAAGTAGATAAATAGGTACCACTTCGGTGAGAAGGGAACAGCGTTCCGTGCGCCTTGGCGTTTAGTCATGCCGGCCACATGACCACGGAAACGTCTTCGGACAGCGCTGGCTCTTCGGCTTTGAAACGGAGATGAGCACCGCAACCCTAGAGTCGGACTCGACTGGCTTTCGAGCAAGGGAACCTTTACCTTTAAAGGTTTATTTGAGAGCCAGTTTGGTGTAGTGGTTAAGTGCGCGGACTCAAATCTGGGGGAACACTCACAGCTACTGAATGACCTTGGGCAAGCCACAGTTCCGTCAGAGCTGTTCTCTCAAGGGCAGCTCTTGGAAGAGCTCTCTCAGGCCCGCCCACCTCACAGGGTGTCTGTCTGTTGTGGGGAGGGGGAGGGAAAGGAGATTGTAAGCTGCTCTGAGACTCCTTCGGGTAGTGAAGGGTGGGGTATAAATCCAATCTCCTCCTCCTCCTCCTCCTCCTCCTCTTCTTCTTAGGTGTGAACTTTCGTGTGCAAAGCACACTTTTTCAAATTTCTGTATTTGAAAAACTGTCCTTTGCACACGCAAGCTCATCCCTTGAATAAACCTCTGTTGGACTCAAAGGTGCCCCACTGGACTCTAAATTTGTTCTACTGCTTCAGACCAACACGGCTGACCACCTGGATACATCTGAACTTTGTCAGCCATAGGTTGCCCCTGTCCCTGGTGTGCCTGGAATCTTCTCTAGCATCCTTCTCCTCTGTCATCCTTCATGGTAAAAGGCACAGTCTGTGTCCAGGGGCACCTTTTAAGAGCAACCCAGTTTTATTCTGGGTGTAAGTTTATCCCCAGACTAAAACTTGGTTGGTCATCAAGGGGCCCCTGGAGTCAAACTCACAGGGCGACCTCCCCCTGAATCTGGCTTCAAGGTAAACCACACAGTCAAATGCCCTCGGCCACAGACCCAGAAGGGAGCTCCAAGGAGTTTCTGCCCAAGCAAAGGAACAGATGTGTGCTCCTGGGCCTTTGGCCAATCTGGGTACCCAAAGCTGGACCCTACAGTCAAGAGGTTCTTCCCGCCTGAAAGGAGGAGGCGGGGGTCTTCCCACTCTACCTTTCAATGCAAAGATGTCAACACAGAGATGCCAGAGGACATAGCGATGCCACACCGCACCCGCAGGCCATGCCTGTAGCCTTCCATTTACAGCAGAATGCCAGGCCCTCCGAGAGTCTCATCTTGGAGGGGGTGGGGGTGGAAGTGAGTGGACTTGGACACCGGGGGGTGGGGTCCCCCTTTGCTTCCTTTCCTGCTTTCCCCATCAGCATTGCCTGTTTGGTGTAGTGGTTAAGTGCACGGACTCTAATCTGGGAGAACTGGGTTTGATTCCCCACTCCTCGACATGCAGCTGCTGGTGTGACCTTGGGTCAGTCACAAGTTCTCTCACAGCTTCTCTCTCAAGGGCAGTTTCTGTCAGAGCTCTCAGCCCCACCTGCCTCACAGGGTGTCTGTTGTGGGGAGGGGAAGGGAAAGAAGATTGTAAGCCGCTCAGAGACTCCCTTGGGTAGTGAAAGGTGGGGTATACATCCAATCATCTCCTCCTCCTCTTCCTCTTCTTCTTCTTCTTCCCAAACGCTTTCTTGCCGCCCCTATGATCAGTGTCTGCCCTGAGCAGCCTCTGTCTCCACATCCACCCCTGCAACGGGAATCGTTTGCTTCTTAACGGCGTGTGCTCAAGGCAGGCTGCAAACCTCCTGTGCCCGTCCATGCCTGCCTTTAGTGGGCAAAAGCCCCGACAGAGTCCTGGCAGATGGTTGCCACCCTCCAGGCTGAGCCTGGCATTCTGCTGGAGACTACGGAGGAAGCGGCAGCTTTGGAGGGTGGCGTCCGTGGCATTACAACCCCACCAAGTTCCTTCTCTTCCCCAAACTGCACCCTACCCAGGCGGCACCACCCGGTCTCCAGGACTTCCCCGGGCCCTCCTCGACGGGCCCTGTGCGTACGCATCAGCTCCAGGATGCAGCAGGCCTCTCACGCCCCCCAGGAGTGGGCTGGGGGTGGGTGGAGAGAAGATGGTGGCTCAGCTAGGGTTTCCAGGTCTGGGCTGGAGAATACCCGGAGACTTTGGGGGTGGAGTCAGGAGAGGGTGGTGTTTGGGGAGGGGCCTCAGCTTGGTCCAGTGCCATAGAGAGTCCACCCTTCCAAGCAACCCTTTTCTCCAGGGGAGCTGCTCTCTGTCAGCTGGAGACCAGTTGTAAAAGCGGGGGATCCCCAGGCCACACCTGGAGAATGGCAACACTAGGCTCAGCAGAGCTGACATTTCTGAGAGGATCTCCCCCCCCCCCCGTGTGTGTGTGTGTGGACAGGTCCCCGCCCAGCGACGTCGGGCTGTGCATCCAGGACCCGGCCCACCCCCAGTCCTGCACCGTCAACAAGTCCCAGTTCTGGAGCTCCTACCGCATGAACGTGACCGAGGCCAACCCCCTGGGCTCCAGCTTCCGCCTGCTCGACTTCACCATGCAAGCCATCCGTAAGTCTCCTGCGGGGGAGGGGGGCGCTTCTGGGCTCACGAGCCACCGCCGTCAAAGAGTTACAAAGGGAGGGGGAGGAGGGGCTCTGAAGGTCCTGCCAGGGCGCCGCCCGTGGCGTCGTGGATTCTGTGCAAAAGGGGAGTGAGCAAAGGGCGGCTGTTCCAGGCCCAGGGGCTGCCGTGCAAAGTAGAGCCAGTTTGGTGTCGTGGTTAAGTGCGCGGACTCTAATCTGGGAGAACCGGGTTTGATTCCCCACTCCTCCACTTGCACCTGGCTGGATGACCTTGGGCAAGCCGCAGTTCTGACAAGAGCTGTCCTTGAAAAAGAGCGTTTCTGTCAAGAGCTGTCTCAGCCCCACCGACCTCACAGGGTGTCTGCTGTGGGGAGGGGAAGGGGAAGGAGTTTGTAAGCCACTCTGAGACGCCTTCGGGTAGTGAAGGGCGGGGCATAAATCCAATCTCCTCTTCTAAGTGCGCGGACTCTAATCTGGGAGAACCGGGTTGGATTCCCCACTCCGCCACTTGCACCTGCTGGATGACCTTGGGCAAGCCGTAGTTCTGATAAGAGCTAATCTTGAAAAAGAGAGCAGTTTCTGTTAAGAGCTCTTTCAGCCCCACCCACCTCACAGGGTGTCTGTAGCCAAGGCCAGGAGCTGCTTTCCCCATCCGCCCCCACGGAATGATATCACATGCAAAAATCAGCCCTAGGAGACGGGCAACTGTCAAAGGACAGGCTCTGCACTAGGGGCCCAACGTCCACCGTTGCATTCTGCTGCACCCGTTGAGAACCTGCTGGGCGAGGGCTCACTCTTGGTGGTTTTTTATCTACTTATTTTATTTTTCAGATTTTTATTCCACCGTCTCCAAAGCGGGCTCAGGGCGGAACACAACAAGCAGAGTCAAAGACTCATTACAATAAAACGACGTGACATTAAAATAATTAAAACAGTAAAATTCAAAGGCAGCAGCACATTACATAGAAAGAAAAAAGACTGTTAGGGTCATATGGGTGGAATCAATGAGTTCCCTTCCAGTGTTGCCTCTAAGCTGAGTCAGTGTGAGCTAGCTCACGGCTTTTTAGCCTCCGGCTCACACATTTTTGTCTTGGCTCAGGAAGGAGGGCTCCAGGGGAAACTAAATTGTGCAGCAGCCAAATTGCTCGCTTACAACTTTAATACCAGGAGCTCACAGAGTGGAATCTTTGCTCACAAGACTCCACAGCTTAGAGGGAGCGTTGTTCCCTTCCCTTCCTCTGAAAAGCCGGAGGAGTTGGGCTTTTGGGGGGCGGGGCGGGGAGGAACAGGCTGGATTTCTCGGCTTGGAAGTGGATGACCCGAGGCTCTGTCTAATTTATCTTAGCAATGGGATATCCTGCACACTTCAACCCTCCTGGTGGGGGGCGGGGTGTTTCCCCACAATCGTATAGGGATGCCAACCTCCAGGTGGGCCCTGGGGATTTCCAGGATTATGGCTCATCTACAGACTACAGAGATCAGTTCCCTGGAGAAAATGGCTGCTTTGGAGGGTGGGCACGCAGCCACCCACAACGATGCCAGGGCGGGAGGGCTGGCCCTCTCCTGCAGTCACGTCCCCGGAGGGAGGGTGGGCACGGGGAGTCAGCCCCACGCCATGCGGGTGGCTCCTGGACCCAGGCAGGGCAAGAGTTAAGGTTGCCAACCCTTCAGTCCCAGTGGGGGTTCTCCCGCTTTGGGGGGCTTCAATCCGCCACTGGCCAGTTGGCCAGTGGGGGGGAAACCCCACCCCCAAACAGGGATGTTGTTGTGCAACATCCCTGATGCAATGGTGTCTGTAACTCTGGGGCCCCAAATCACATGCATGGAGGAGAAATAGAGAGTAAGGAAAGAGGGGCAGATGGGAGAAATAGTGTGAGAGAGGTAGGGGTGAGTAAAAGCAAAGGTGTGATGAATGAGATAACCATCCCGCAAGTTTCTTGCGGGTCTCCACTTGTACACCCCAGAACCTGCACCTGACATCTCCTCTTTCCTGAGGCACCTTGTTTGGAAGTCTGTAACTCGAACCCCCCAAGTCCAATCTTCATCAGACTTGGTGGGCACGTAGAGGAGAGTCAGCTGGAGATGTGCTGCTATTTTGGAGTCTCTAGGACCCGGGGGGGGGGCTGCCCCTTCATGTCCCAAACTGGTTCCATTCAGCAGAACGCCTGGATTCGCAAACTGGGTTTTCCCGGTTTGTGCCCGTCCCTAAATAGGATGCTTTGGAAGTCATCAGTTCATAGGGTTGCCATAATTTAGAAGGGACCTGACAGTTAGGGGAGCTTTCAGACTCTAATACAACCCCCACCCCCCCTTCTCCATGATCAATCGGGAAGAGCAAAAGATCCCTCGGGGCTTTGGCTGACAGAGCTTGCAAAGTTTATTAAGAACGATCATTCTGATGCGAGCTCATCGGACTGCCCCAGGCTCATGAGCAAGCTGGCACGCTGAACAAGATTCAGAGTTCTTCTTTTACTGGATAAAACAGGCAAAAGGTCAGGGCCTGGTATCTGGAAAAAGGTCCAGCCATTCTGTTCTCAAGCATAATTCACTCCATTCCACATTCCTAAGAGGGCCATAAGGAAAACAAACCTTTCACACTTTCCCTGAGAGATAAAAATGACAGGGACCAATGCTCCCTCTAAGCTGTGGAGTCTTGTGAGCAAAAATTCTACTTTGTTAGCTGCTGGCATTAAAGTTGTGAGCGAGAGATTTGGCTGCTGCATAAATTAGTTTGCTCTGGAGCCATCCCTTCCCGAGCTAAGACAAAAATGTGTGAGCCGGAGGCTAAAAAACTGTGAGCTAGCTCGCACTAACTCAGCTTAGAGGGAACACTGACAGGGACCCTTGACTGAAATATAGTTACTCAGAGATCAGGGGGGGGTCAAAGAACAGATTTACAGTGGGGGGAGAGGTTTAGGGAGGGATACAATGGTCAGTATAAGACACTGAACTGCAGGCAGGAAGGTCAGTAGTTCAGCAGTTTGAGACCCGAGTGCCGCATGACGGAGTGAGCTCCCGTCTCTGGTTCCACCTCCGTCCAACCTAGCAGTTCGAAAGCAAGAAACTGCAAGTAGATAAATAGGTACCGCTTCGGTGGGAAGGTAACAGCATTCCGTGTGCCTCGGCGTCTAGTCATGCCAACCATATGACCACGGTGATGTCTTCGGACAGCGCTGGGTCTTCGGCTTGGAAACAGAGATGAGCACCGCAACCCTAGAGTCGGATTCGACTGGCTTTCAAGCAAGAGAACCTTTACCTTTACCACGGTCTTAAAATTTTAGCAAATCAGCCCACAAGATAGCGGACCAATCTTCAGGCTCACTAATCAGAGTTATTATACTGATCTTAAATTTTTGCTGAATTCTTATGGTGAAATAAAATTCTCCAATGCTGACACACAAACAAAGCAAATTAGGGTTGGAGCCAGATGAGTCTCCAAGGGAAGGGAATTCTGTGATGAGACTGGCCCCCCGGGGAAGGAGGCCCTCTCCCGCCCTCCACGGAGAAGTACCTGTCCAACCAATCTGTACTGTTGGGCAGGAACGTCTCGGAGAAGGCAACTGATAGGGGAGAAAAGCAGAATAGGAATAAACCAAATATGAAAATAGTCTGGCCCCCGGCTGGTTGGGGTTTTAAAGGTAACAAGGAACATCTTCAACTGGTACGGGAAGGCTTCGCTGGGCAGGTGGGGGAAGCGTCCTAGTGCTTCTGTGCTTTCTGTGACCAACAGAGTCAAGGTCTTTCGATACTTGGAAGCCTTCTAGAGATGCTTATCTGTAGACATGCCACCATTCCCGACAGTCAGACGGGTTAACATAAGAACATAAGAGACGCCAATGTTGGATCAGGCCAAAGGCCCATCCAGTCCAACACTCTGTGTCACACAGTGGCCAGAAATACCAGGTACCATCAGGAGGTCCACCGGTGGGGCCAGGACATTAGAAGCCCTCCCACTGTTGACCCCCCCCCAAGCACCAAGATGACAGAGCATCACTTGCCCCAGAGCCCCTATCTATACCTTGTGGCTAATAGCCACTGATGGACCTCTGCTCGACCTCAGTGGACATCCATCATTGGAGGTGCCTCAGTGGAACAGGCTTCCTCGGGAGGTGGTGGGCTCTCTGTCTTTGGAGGTTTTCAAACGGAGGCTAGATAGCCATTGGACAGCAATCCTGATTCTGTGAACTTAGGCAGATCATGAGAGGGAGGGCAGGAAGGGTTGCCTCGGTGCTTAGTTCTGGTGGCCCCTTCTTAGAAGAAGAAGAGAAGAGATTGGATTTATACCCCATGGCCCTTCACTACCCAAAGGTGTCTCAGAGCGGTTTACAGACTCCTTTCCCTTCCCCTCCCCACAACAGACACCCTGTGAGGTAGGCGTGGCTGAGAGAGCTCTGACAGAAACTGCTCTTTTTCAAGGACAGCTCTTGTCAGCACTATGGCTTGCTTAAGGTCATCCAGCCAGGTGCAAGTGGGGGAGTGGGGAATCAAACCGGGTTCTCCCAGATTAGAGTCCGTGCACTTAACCACGACACCAAACTGGCTCTCAATATCCAGGGAATGCTGATCACCACTTTGGGATCAGGAAGCAATTTTTCTTCAGGCCAGTTTGGCTGGAGATCCTGGAGGGGCATTTTTAGCCATCTTCTGGGCATGGAGCAGGAGTCACTGAGGGGTTGGGTGGGAGGAGGTATTTGTGAATTCCCAGCATTGTGCAGGGTGGTTGGACTAGATGACCCTGGAGGTCCCTTCCAACTCTATGGTTCTATGATTCTATAGTTGCTGTTCTATTTTGTTATTTTTTAAAGTTTCTTTTCTGTTTGGGGGTTGCAATTTAGAAAACTTAAACATTCATAATAGATGTGAGTGCTCGGACATTCCCTGCATCCCAGCTCAAATGGTGCAGATTTCCGGAGAGGGAAAGGAAGCAGCAGGACCTCATCTTCCTCTTCCGTGCATCTCCCCCCCCTCCCCCCACCTTGTTCCCCCCAGTCAAGCCAGATCCCCCAGAGGGCCTGCGGGTGGAGCCAGTGCCATCGGCCCCGCGGCGGCTGCGCGTGAGCTGGGAGTACCCCTCCTCTTGGCCGAACGAGCCTCACTTCCAACTCAAGTTCCGGCTCCAGTATCGCCCCGTGGTACACAGCTCTTGGTCCATGGTGAGTTCCAGGCGGTGAGCGGATGGGAGCTGGGTGTGAGTTCCGACAGAGGGGCAGGATTGGAGGGGAGAGAGAGTGATGGGTGTTAGTCCCATGTCACCCCAGCCTGGAACGGGTGTAGCACTGAGGTTAGAGGTTAAGAGATGGAGCTCTGACATGCAAGGTCCCTGGTTCAAATCTCATTTCATGCAAGCCCCTCTTTCTCAGGGATCCAGACAGAAATAGAAAAGATTACACCTCTTAACGGCATTCTCCTGCCGCCCCCGTTTGCCTTGGGGCTGTGTAGTGAAGAGCAGGGCCGGCTCACCCACTAGGCGAACTAGGCATTCGCCTAGAGTGCTGGGCCCTGGATGGGGCGCCGAGCTGTGCCTCCCCTCCACGCACGAAAAGCCCGCGAGCAGCTCTCCAAGTGTCAGCACTTCGCTAATTGGGGAGAGGCATCCGGTGAGCATCCCTCGCCTGGAGACAGGATCCCCCCCCCCCCCCTCCCTCCCGAAATGCCTTCAGAAGGGGAACACAAGAGAAATCTCTCTTCCATCTTGGAGGGTGCTGCAGGAACATGTGGGGCATGCTTGCTGGGTCTGACAGCTGCGGAGGGGGAGGAGGCAGTGGCGGCGGTAGCAAAAGGGGGGCTGGCTCCAGAGGTTTTCAGGCCCCACCAGGAGGTTGGCATCTGCGCCACAAGGCAGCCTCGCCTAAAACGCAGAAACACCTTGAGCCGGCCCTGGTGAAGAGAGAGAGAGGGGGTTTAACCTTTCGACTGCCACTCGTTCTGGCTGAACGAAACCAGCCCCCCCAGATTTAGGCTGCACAAGGGCAGTCTACGTTGTACAGCCCAATGGAGATGTGTGATTCTTCATCACCTCTGTCGTTGCCCTCAGCCTCAGTTCCTCATTTGTACCATCAGGAGAGGAATCCTGGCTGACCTTAGGGGGGGGACTGTAAGAATAACAGAGATCATGTATGCGGAGTGCACGTGAAGCCCTGCGAGGAAAGGCTGAGGGACCTCTTGGGAAGGTTCAGTCTGGAGAAGAGGAGGAGGTGGAGGGGGGGCACGATGGCTCTCTTGGAGTCTTTTTTGAAGGGCTGTCCCTTGGGGGAGGGCAGGGAGCTGTTCCTGTGGGCAGCAGAGGAGAGGACTCGCCAGAATGGGTTGAAATCAGGGCTTTTTTTTGTAGAAAAAGCCCAGCAGGAACTCATTAGCATAATAGGCCACACCTAACAGGTGAAACTCATTGGCATATTAGGCCGCACCCCCGTGTTACCAGAAGTGTGGTCATCCAGCCACACCCACCTTTTGCTTCTTATTCTGTTTACCTTGTTTGTGGTCAAAACCCGGGGCCTTTTTTTGTAGCAGGAACTCCTTTGCATGTTAGGCCACACACCCCTAATGTAGCCAATCCTAATGCGTTTCTGCTGTTGGGTGTGGCCTGTTATGCTAATGAGTTCCTGCTGGGCGTGGCCAACTCAGGAGCCAGCCGGAACGCCGTTCCTGTGCGTTCCTGCCCCAAAATAGCCCTGGTTGAAATTAAGGGTGGGAAGCCATGCTCCCTCTAAGCTGCGGAGTCTTGTGAGCAAAAATTCCGCTTTGTGAGCTACCGGCATTAAAGTTGTGAGTGAGCGATTTGGCTGCTGCATTAATTAGTCTGCTCTGGAGCCATCCCTTCCTGAGCCAAGACAAAAAAGTGTGAGCCGGAGGCTACGAAACTGTGAGCTGGCTCACCCTAACTCAGCTTAGAGGGAACACTGGTGGGAAGGTACCGGCTGGATCTCAGGGAAAGCTTTTTCTACAGTCAGAGTTGTGCCACAGTGGAATGGGCTGCCTTGGGAGGTGGGGAGCTCCCCCTCACTGGCCGTCTCTAAGCAGAAGCTGGACAAATGCTTGGCAGGGATGCTCTAGGCTGACCCTGCATTGAGCAGGGGGTTGGACTAGATGTCCTCTATGGCACCTTCCAACTCTGGGATTCTATGATTCTTTGCACCTTTCTGTCAGCAGACCTGGTGAGTTCTCTGGAGGGATCAGGAATTCTCTAGTGGAAGAGGCTGCTGAAGGAGGATGTAAGATCTCCCTTTTGGATGATTAACAATTGGACAAATATCTCTCAGGGACACTTTAGGAGAAGGCCAGATGTCCTTACTTGAATTGGACATACCTGGAACAGAGAGGGCTCTGAGTGCCGCCTCTGGCACCCATGCCATAGGTTCGCCACCACTGCTCTAGGCTAAGCCTGCGCTGAGCAGAGGGTTGGACTAGATGGCCTGTGGGACCCCTTTGGACTCTATCGTTCTATGATTCTATAAGTGCTTTTGAGACGAAAAGTGTTCTTCAAGTGCTTATTGAGCTTGCCTTGCACTCTGCCCACACTGCATTGTTGGCTTCTCTGTTTATTTGAAATACTCTATGTACCTGTTCTTTTCCTTCACACTCCAAAACCAGAGCACCACTTCCCAAGTGCTTCCCAGGGCAATCAATTCCGTAGCCGGTACTCGACAGGGGTTGATGCAGCAACTGGTATCTGGCCAACCCAGAAAGATGCACGTGTGTGACTCAGCCAACCCCTCCCCCCGGTCGCAAAGGCCGTCTGGCCAGATGGATCCTTCTGTCGGCACTCCTGTCACACCCCTCCCCCCCTCCCCCTCCTCTGACTTTAATAGGATTTTTAGAATATTTTTGCTCACAAATATTTCCAGCATTCCCATCCAAGATTTGTGGACAAACCTGCCCTGACTACGCTCTTGTAGCAGGCAAGCAGCTCAGCAAGGACTCGGGGGCCCCTTGGAGGGCAGGCAGGGCTTGTGTGGGGCAGCAGTCCGACCAAGCCAGCCTCTCTGTCTCCTGAGAGCCAGTTTGGTGTGGTGGTTAGGTGCGCGGACTCTAATCTGGGAGAACCGGGTTTGATTCCCCACTCCTCCACTCCAACCTGCTGGATGACCTTGGGCAAGCCGTAGTTCTGTCAGAGCTGTTCTTGAAAAACAGCAATTTCTGTCAGAGCTCTCTCAGCCCCACCGACCTCCCAGGCAATATTCCTTTTAAGCTGTGGAGTCTTGTGAGCAAACATTCTACCTTGTGAGCTACTGGCATTAAAATTGTGAGTGAGCAAGCTGGCTGCTGCATAAATTGGTTTGTTCTGGAGCTATCCTTCCTGAGCTAAGACAAAAATGCGTGAGCTGAAGGCTAAAAAACTGTGAGCTAGCTCACATTAACTCAGCTTAGAGGGAACACTGCTCACAGGGTGTCTGTTCTGGGGAGGGGGAGGGAAAGAAGTTTGTAAGCCGCTCTGAGACTCTGAGTGAAGGGCGGGCTATAAATCCAATCTCCTCCTCCTCCTCCTCCTCCTTTTCTTCTTCTTCTTCTCACTTGCCAACAATGGCTGGGGGCAGGCTCCCTGAGCGATGGCTAACGGTGTGTCCCACATTGGCAGGTGGAGACAGCCAACGTCTCCGAGCTGATCACCGATGCCCTGATGGGCTTGGACCACGTGGTGCGGGTCAGTGCCAAGGACTTCCTGGACGCTGGGAGCTGGAGCGAGTGGAGCAGCGGAGCCTGGGGCAGGCCGGCTCTCGGTAAGGCCCTGCAAAGAGGGCGGGGTCAAGGGTCAGGGCGTCAAGGCACACCGGAGCTGCCATTAAGGGGTGCAGCCAGTGCAAGAGCCCAAGTCCCAGGGACTGCATCCATTGGGGAGCACTGCCTCCGCAGGGAACATGGGTGGGGGCTGTGGCTCAGTGTCAGAGCCTCTGCTTGGCGTGCAGAAGGTCCCAGCTTCAATCCCCAGCATCTCCAACAAAAGCAGGATCAGGTCGGAGGTGACTTGAAAGACCTCAGACGGAGACTCGTGGGCACTCCATGAAATTGCTGAGCAGTCAGGTTAGAACAGATAAAAGGAAGTCCTTCTTCACCCATAGAGTGATTCACACATGGAATTCACTGCCACAGGAAGTGGTGGCGGCTACAAGCATGGACGGCTTCAAGAGGGGATTGGATAAACATACGGAGCAGAGGTCCATCAGTGGCTATTAGCCACAAGGTATAGATAGGGAACCTAAACAGCATGATAAAAGGTAGAGACATCACCCTGCCAACAAAGGTCCAGCAATGGTATTCCCAGTAGTCATGTATGGCTGCGAGAGTTGGACTATAAGGAAGGCCAAGCGCAAAGAATAGATTCTTTTGAACTATGGTGCTGGAGAAGACTCTTGAGAGTCCCCTGGACTGCCGGGAGATCAAATCAGTCAATCCTAAAAGAAATCAACCCTGTCTGTTCCCTGGAAGGCCAGATAATGAAACTGAAGCTCAAATACTTTGGCCACCCAATGAGAAGGGAGCACTCACTGGAGAAGACCCTGATGCTGGGAAAGACTGAAGGTCAAAGAAGATGGCGATGGCAAAGGATGAGATGGTTAGACAGTGTCATAGATGCAACGGACATGAAATTGAGCAAACTTCAGAGGACGGTGGAAGACAGGAAGGCCTGGCGTGATCTGGTCCATGGGGTCGCGAAGAGTCGGACTCGACTGTGCGACTGAACAACAACAACTGAACAGAACCTCCATTGTCGTGGTAGTATATCAGGGGTAGTGTTTGCAAATCATTAGGGATGAAGACCAACTCGGAGCTTGGAGGTTTCATCGAAACTCGAGGAAGAACGTCCTGACAGTGAGGTGTTTTCAAGTATTGGTCAGATACCTACTCATTAGGGATATCGTAGCTGTAATGTCTGCATTGGCAGCGGGTTGGACGATCTGGTCCATGGGGTCGCGAAGAGTCGGACTCGACTGTGCGACTGAACAACAACAACATAGATAAGGACTCTGGGGCAAGGGATGCTCTGTCTTCTTGGTCTTTGGGGGGGGTCAACAGTGGGAGGGCTTCTAGTGTCCTGGCCCCACTGGTGGACCTCCTAATGGCACCTGGTATTTCTGGCCACTGTGTGACACAGAGTGTTGGACTGGATGGGCCTTTGGCCTGATCCAACATTGGCTTCTCTGATGTTCTTATTACTTCGGAGAGCCACCACCTGTCTGGGGAGACCGTACTGACCTTGATGGACCCAGGGGGGGTCTGATTCAGTAGAAGGCAGCTTCTTGGGTTGTATCAAAAGGGCCATAGCATCGAAATCGCAGGAGGTCGTAGCCCCTCTGTATATTCCCTTGGTTACGCTGCACCTGGAGTCCTGTGTGCAATTCTGGAGGCCTCAATTCAAAAAGGATGAGGGCAAAATCAAGGGTGCAGAGGAGAGCAATGAGGACGGTCAGGGGTCTGGAGACTGAGCCCTACGAGGAAAGGCTGGGGGCCCTGGGAATGTTTAGTTTGGAGAAGAGGAGATTGAGGGGGGACAGGATGGCTCTCTTTAGAGATTTGAAAGGCTGTCATTGGGAGGAGGAGGGCAGGGAGCTGTTCCAGTTGGCAGCAGAGGACAGGACCCGAAGCAACGGGTTGAAATGACACGCAGAAAGGTATCGGCTGGATATTAGGGAAAACTTTTTCAGGGTCAGAGTGGTTCAGAGGTGGGATCAGCTGCCCGGGGAGGTGGTGAGCTCCTCTTCACTGGCAGCTTCCAAGAAGAGGCTGGACGAATATTTGTCAGGGATGCTTTAGGCTGGTCCTGCATTGGGCAGGGGGTGGGACCAAATGGTCAGCATGGCCCCTTCCAACTCTTGCGATTCTATGGTTCTAACTCTTGGTTCCCTCCTGCAGTGACAGGCCTCCTTATTCCATTTGTCTCTTTTCAGGGCAGACCATGGCACCCAGCGAAGCCGCCACTGCAGCCGTCGAGCCAGAGAGTCCAGCCGAGGAGCCCTCTCTGCCCCCCAACAATGAGCCTGTTGGTATGTACCCCGGGACAAGCCCCACTTGTGAGTCTGGAAGGCAAATGGGGGCCGTGTTGTGCGAGCATCTTGCAGGAGTGAGAAGGCAGCCTGCTCCATTGGCTGTCTGCAAAGGATACGGCCCTCTTAGCCTCCTGGTGGCCTTCCCGTAAACAACAGGCCAACTTCCTGGCCTTGGGCGACTAGTCCCCAGCGTGGTGCCCCGGGAAAGCAACTTTAAATGTGTTCTCAAAACTCTTCCTCCCAGCCAAGCTGGGTTGGAGACCACATTTAAGTTGCTTTCTTTCCACCTCTGTCTTCCTCCCTTCCTCCCCCCATCTATTTGCTTTCTTCCCATATCTTTCTTTTCACCTTTCTTTCTCTCTTTCTCTCTTCCTCCCCCCCTCTCTCTTGCTTCGTTCCTCCCCCATCTTTGCTTTCTTTGTTTCTTTCTCTCTTTCTCTCTCTCTCTATCCCCCTCCCCATCTATTTGCTTGCTTTCCTTCCTTCCTTCCTTCCATCTTTCCTTCCTTCCATCCTTCCTTCCTTCCATCTTTCCTTCCTCTCTCCCTTCCTTCCTCCCTCCCTCCCTCTTCCTTCCTCCCTTCCTCCCTTCCTTCCTCCCTTCCTCCCTTCCTCCCTTCCTTCCTTCCTTCCTTCCTTCCTTCCTTCCTTCCTTCCTTCCTTCCTTCCTCCCTCCCTCCCTCCCTCTTCCTTCCTCCCTTCCTCCCTTCCTTCCTCCCTTCCTCCCTTCCTCCCTTCCTTCCTTCCTTCCTTCCTTCCTTCCTTCCTTCTCTCTCTCTCTCTCTCTCCACCTCTTTCATTCTTTCTTTCCACCTCTCTCTCTCGTATAAATAAATATAATTAGCAAACAAACAAATATCATTGGACAAATAAATATCATTATCAATATCTGTTTTACCCCTTTTGTTTTTTTGGCAGTCTCATTTAATGTTAATAAAAGCAAATCTGCATATTTTTCAATAAAAGCATGTCTGTAATATTCGTTCATGTCTTGCGGCTCTCAAACATCTGATGTTTATTCTGTGTGGCTTTTACGTTAAGCAAGTCTGGCCACCCCAGTTCTAGATGCTACCCGCCCCCCCCAAAAAAAAGAGGACTATCGTCCCGTCCCCTTCAGGTGAAAGGCATGCTCCTCCCTCAGGGACAAGACACAAGACAGGCAAAGGGGCCTCCTCTGTGGGGGAGAGAAGGGGGCGTGCCCTTAGGCATTGCTGGTGCTGCCATTGAAGCGGAGTGGGAACCGCTGGGGGGGTGGGTCACGGGGGCAGCCGACATTGCAGCTCACACAGCTGGTGCTGCTGCTGGCACACCCAGGCAAGCCATTTCCCCATAGCCCTGTGTGTTTTGAGAGAGACAGGCGTTGTTGCGGAGTGGTTAGAGGGTCCAGCTATGAGCAGCTTCCCAGGGGAAAGCCTGGAGAGACCTGGGGAGTGGGGTCAGACAGGGGTGGTGGTATCCTGGACTTTGGCCCTCTGATCCGCCCACCCACCTTCTGTGCACCACACCAGGCAGCAGACCCCTTCCGACTGCCATCCGTTTGCTTGCTGCGTTGCTGATGGGAGCGACCTCAGTGTGTCCCCATCAGGAGAGCCGGTTTGGTGCAGTGGTGAAGTGCGTGGACTCTAATCTGGGAGAACCGGGTTTGATTCCACACTCCTCTACTTGCACCTGCTGGATGGCCTTGGGTCAGTCACAAGCTCTGGCACAGCTGTCCTTGAAAAAGAGCAGTTTCTGTCAAGAGCTCTCTCAGCCCCGCCTACCTCACAGGGTGTCTGTTGTGGGGAGGGGAAGGGAGAGGAGTTTGTAAGCCGCTCTGAGACTCCTTTGGGTAGTGAAGGGCAAGGGGTATGGATCCAATCTCCTCCTCCTCCTCCTCCTCCTCCTCCTCCTCCTCCTCTCCCCCTCCTCCTCTCCGGCCTGCCCCCTTGCAGCTGGTCAGCACAGGGGTGGGCAGGGCAGGGCAGGGGCTGGGGGAGGAGAAGAAGAAGAAAAGAAGAGATTGGATTCATACCCCTTGCCCTTCACTTGGAGTCTCAGAGTGGCTTTTCACCTCCTTTCCCTCCCCCCCAAGCAAACTCCTTTCCCTCCCCCTCCCCACAACAGACACCCCCCGGGAGGCAGACAGGGCTGAGAGAGCTGTGACACAAACTGCTCTTTTTCAAGGACAGCTGTGCCAGAGCTTGTGACTGACCCAAGGTCACATCAGCAGGTGCAAGTGGAGGAGTGGGGAATCAAACCCGGTTCTCCCAGATTAGAGTCTGCGCACTTAACCACTACACCAAACTGGGGTCCCTTGAGCAGGCGCTGGAAGGCCACCTTCTCTCTCTCTCTGGGCGTGTGCTGGACTGACTGCCGGCCGACCCGCGCAGAGTCACCAGGGAAGCTCTCTCTTTCTCCAGCAGGCCACAGTGACCCCCTGGAGAAGGTGGCCGTTCTGGTGTCCCTCGGCGTCTTCGCCTTCTTTGTCCTGGCCGTGATTCTCATCTTCGCCCTTCTGATGTGGTAGGTATCCCTGCCCTTCCAGGTCAAGGCGGCTCTGGGGAGAGAGCCGCCCTTCCCCCCCCCCGGCACCGTTGGCAGAAGTGTTGCATTTGGAAAGTCTCAGGGTTCCGATGCCCAGCGGGCAAGGGCCGGAAGGAAGCCTGGCCTCGGAGCTGGGCAAACACCTCTGCCTCCACGCGCCCCCCCCTTCCCTCCTCCGCGCTCCTCCGCACGTGTCTCTGCCCGCTGCCAAGCGCCAGCCCCGCCGGTGACGTGTGGTTGGCTGGGCGCCATCCTGGATCTGGAGACTGTCCACCTAAAACAAGACGGAAATTGGTCATGTCGCCAGCGCTGGAACGAAGAGACAAAAAGCAGAAGCGTCCCCGTTCCGGAGAAGGGAAGCCCGGAGAGGCCAAACTGGCCTGGCCTTGCTGTGTGCCGGAAGGGCCGTCTGCACTGAAGTGCCTGTCTGGACCACAACTGGGGCACAGCTGGGCCAGCTTCCCATTCCCAGTGCCGGCCCCCAGGCAGACCTTCCTGAGAAGCCCACAGACGGGAAACGGAGCCAGCAGTGTGCCTGCCCCCAGCCGCTGGCCTTCAGAGGTACACTGCCTCTGGAAATGGAGGTTCCATTTTAGCCCTCGGGGCTGCCCTCCCCTTTCTCGTTTTAAAGCCATCTCATCGAGTGGCCGTCTTTACGCCAGGTGGCAGCAAACTCCGGATGTTCATTCCGTGCTTTTTGAAGAAGTCACTCCTGGATCTTCTGCCCGTCAGATCGGTGGGGTGACCGTGAGTCAGAGAAGAAAGATACTGTTCTCTCCGCTCTTTCTCCCCACCTGGCAGAACCCCCCAAGCCTCCCTCACCTCTCCCCTTTGCTACCTCCTCCCCCATTCATGTCTTGCCTGAGAAAATGCACCTCTCCTCTCCAGAGGCCTGTCGCCAACCCAGGGCCACCCCAGGCCTGTAGCTACAGTAGGGGGGCATCTCAGGGCCTGCGCCCCACAACCTACTACCAAGCCCCTCCCGACTTCCCATCCAGCCCCCCCAGGCCTCCCAACATCCAATTTTTTAATTTTATTCGTGGTGCTCCCTTGGTGGGGGTGCTTGTGTGGGGTGCCCCCTGACTTACTTAAAGGCCCCCCAAATTTAAAAAAAGAGAATCCGGGGTACAGGCCTGGCCCACCCTGTAGGGTTTTCAAGGCAAGAGACGAACAGAGGTGGTTTTTGCCCTTGCCTGCCTTTGCGGAGCGACCCTCGACTTCCTTGGTGGCTTTCCATCCAGGTACCAACCAGTGTTCCCTCTAAGCTGAGTTAGTGTGAGCTAGCTCACAGTTTTTTAGCCTCCAGCTCACAGGTTTTTGTCTTAGCTCAGGAAGGATGGCTCCAGAGCAAACTGATTCATGCAGTAACCAAATCGCTTGCTCACAACTTTCATGCCAGTAGCTCACAAAGTAGAATTTTTGCTCACAAGACTCCATAGCTTAGAGGGAGCATTGGTCCCAACCAGGGCTGGCCCTGCCTGTCTTCCGAGATCTGGTGGGAGCCGGCTGGCCCAGGAAACCGGGGTCAGGGCAGAGACTTGCTGCAGGTGGCTTGAAGCCTTCTAAACTCAAGAGCCTCAAAACGCTTTCCGACCGATAAGTGCTCCTTCTTCACAAGCAGTGAAATCTGCACCTGTTTAGTTAAGAAGAGGAAGAGGAAGAGATTGGATTGATACCCCGCCCTTCACTACCTGAAGGAGTCTCAGAGTGGCTTGCAAACTCCTTCCCCCCCTTACAACAGACACCCCCTGTGAGATAGGCAGGGCTGAGAGAGCTCTTTCGAGAACTGCCCTTGAGAGAACAGCTCTGAGAGAGCTTCTGACTGACCCAAGGTCACACCAGCAGCTGCATGTGGAGGAGTGGGGAATCAAACCCAGTTCTCCCAGATTAGAGTCTGTGCTCCCGACCACGACACCAAACTGGCTCTCAGCTGGAAAGGACCACCCAGGTCATCTAGTCCAACCCCCTGCCAACGCAGCAACTCCAACTGTAATACCCCTGGCAAGCAGACATCCAACTGGTGCTTAAAAACCTCCGATGACAAAGAACCTACCACCTCACGAGGGAGACTGCTCCCGTGTCGAACACGTCTCACCGTCAAGGGGCCGGAGTCAGTTGCTCCACTTCCGGGTTGTACAGCGGAGGGGCTCCCTGCACTTCAGAGGGAAACCAGCACGCGGGGAGAAGAAAAGGGTGCTTGCATTGCCTTTCTCGTGCTGTGCTGGTTTCCCACTCTAGGGAATTTGCCAACCGTAGTCACAGAATCATAGAATCACAGAATGTTAGAGTTGGAAGGGGTCTTGCAGGTCATCTAGTCCCTCCCCTGAAAAAAGGTCCCTACTGACCCTCCCCAACCGCCTGGTTCTGGTGCAGGGCAGCCCAGACTGCTGTCTCCTGCTCTTCTTCACGGCGGGAGAGCCAGTTTAGAGAGAGCCAGTGTGGTGTAGTGGTTAGGAGCACAGACCCTGATCTGGGAGAACAGGGTTTGATTCCCCATTCCCCCACGTGCTGCTGCTGGCGTGACCTTGGGTCAGTCACAAGTTCTTTCAGGGATGAGCCAGAAAAGCAATGGAGGGAAGGATTAAGGGAATGCAAACCACTGGCCACACACACCCCTTTAGAGGCAAAGATGCAGGCCCCGGTGGCTTCCCAATGTTCTCACAATTTTGGGGGTGGGGTTTGTTTGTTTGTGTGTTTTGTATGTGTGCGCATGTGTGTGTGTGCGCGCCTGGAAGTCATGCTGATCTCTGGTAACTGACCCCTACTGGCTGAGTAAAGCCTGCCCCCGCCTCCCAACTGCTGGTATCCCTTGGAGGTCTCCTTCCAAGTAGTTGCCAGAGTCGACCCTGCTCAGCTTCCGAGATCTGACAGGATCGGGCTTGCCTGGGGTATCCAGGTCAGGGCTGCCCGGTGGCTTCTCCATGTGTAAGGAAGCTGTGAGAGCAGGAAGGGAGGCCGGGGGGGGGGGAGGCTGCAGCCAGAGAGCCGCTGGCATGAGAGAGTCGGATGCAAAGAGCCTTCCCGGCCTGCGTCGCTCATTCTCGACTCTCCCCCCTTTGGTTTCCAGGATCCGGATGAAGAAGCACAGCAAAGAGGCCACGAAGAACCACGACTTACTCTCGGCCACCATCCACATGAAGGCCTTGCCCAGTGAGTGTGCCCCCCCACCCGGCTCTTGGGGAGAATGGGCAGGCGGGCGGGCGGGAGCTTGTCCGGGCCTGACTCGCAGGCAGTGAAAGGGGGAAGAGGCGCCCTTCAGTCTCTGCACGGGAGAGAGAACGGAGCAGACACGGTGTGTTCTCAGGCTGGGATCCACGGCCCCAGAGTCGGTTGTGAGTGTCTCACGGGTGGCCTGTGAGGTTCACACTCCTGCGCAGAGAGGGGAGGCTCTTTTGTCCCGGGGGGGGGGGGGGGGGGTTTTGTCCCCGGGGGGGGGGGGGGGAGAACAGAACGCTGGAGGGCTGATGGGGTGGATCCCACCCAGAAGAGCAAGTTTATTAAGAACCCTGCTGGATCAGACCAGCGGTCCATGTACTCCAGCCAGTTCCTCTTCCTGTCATTTAACCACTTTTTAGTCCATAAGAGGACCTATTCTCTTATCTCACGACTGCTAAGTTTACTCAAGAGTCTATGATGAGGCACCTTGTCAAAGGTTCTTTGAAAGCCCAAGTATATGATGCCTACTGGGGGTCACTGTTGTCTATACGCTTCTTCACTTTCTCAAAGAACTCCAAATGGTTGGGTGAGGCAGGACTTCCCTTTGCAGAAGCCATGCTGATTTTCCCTCGGCAGGCTTTGTTCTTCTAGGTGCCTAACAACTCTGTCTTTGATTGCAGTTTCTACTCATTTGCCTGGGAGAGACGTTAGGCCGACTGACTTGTAATTTCCTGGTTCCCCTCTGGAGCCCTTTTAAAAAATTGGTTTTACATTTGCTGCTCTCCAGTCTTCTGGTACAATGATTGAACTTAGTGATAGGTTACATATATGCCGGGGACATTTCCTGCAGGAGCGCACAGGAGCGGAGCTCTGGCATTAAAGAGCCCAGGGGGTGGGCACATGCAACAAGCCACACCCCCTGCTCCCAGCAGCTCCAGGCCACGAGGAGCAAGAAGCAGCCCTCCTTCTTTCCTTCTCTCCTTCTTCCCCTTCCCCTTCTTATTTACTTCTCTCCGTCTTTCGCG